CCTTAGCTTGGCATAAATTTTGAATAAAATTCTTACGATTACGAGGGCCTTGTTTCTGAAGAAGATAGACTTGTTCGTGATCGTTCTCGATATCAATAGAATTGTATTCTAATTCTATTCCAATCTAGAATTGCTTTTTATTCCAAAGGGGCTTTCTCCCTGAAGGACAATTGTTTTCGTTTTGCGATTTTGGGTTGCTCACCGTTTCACTTTTCAAACTGTTGAGACCAAATGTTAGAGTCTTGCATTATATTTAAAGAAATTAAATAATGAAAAATCTGCATAAATATATGTCCATTTCTCGCATTGTGATAAAACAACAGTACATAGAGCCATCGAATTTTGAATGACGTAATCCTACCGCGAATATGGGCATGTGGAAGCCCAAATTTGAAATTTGGAATTTGTTTTATTATCTTATAAGGTTATAAGGTATTTATCCTCCTTTCTAGCGTGCCTTCGTGCTGTGGTGGTCTGCACACTGGGCTGGTATTCCAGAGGTCCATGGTTCGATTCCCGGGGAAGGCGATTGCTCATTTTTCACCTTGCCTGCTCCTGAAAAAATCCTAATGTCTCTACAATCGATTTCATATTTTGTAAACCTTTAACGAATTTTTTATTAACAAACTCAAGGATTTCAGAGCGAGCCATGGCAACGTTGTACAGAAAAAACATTTTTATCTCCAGCGCGTGAGACTGCGTATCCTAAATCCTAAAGATATGCTCAATTTAAAACTATTTTGTGATATTGCTCTTGAACTGAATTTTATGGTTTAAGTGCGAAGAACGTGATATTTAATAAATAAAAGTAACAGACAAAATGTAAAAAAAAAACTACCATTTGGACGTAATTTAAAATCTGAAACCTTTTACATTGCTTTAAAATTTTTTTCTAATTTTAAACTCGAGATTTATCTCTAAAATTTAATAGTTACATGTGAATCATTTAATGGCAATTCGGAAGATAACTGCACTATATAAAGAGTAAAACGGAGGAAATAAAAAAAAAAAAAAAAAAAGCGATCCAAAACCGTTACCGACATTGAAACTTGGGAGAGGGGGAGGGAGTTGAGACTGTCACTAAAATAAAGAATTACAGAACCAATATTATTGACTTTTCTTACCTAATAGAAACAAGCTTTAGCTTTAATATGCGACGGTATTTACTACGATCAATAATTTACTACGGCAAGAAAGAAACGGTTCGAATGTTATTGAACGAGGTAATTTAAAAGTAAAGTAATTTTATGCCAAATATTAAAAAGAAATTCATCTATACATCAATCCCCATCAATTTAAAGAAACTCGAACTTTTGTGCAATTAGAATCTGTGATTTTGTTTCTGAAACATTTAGTTATAATTGTAAAATTAAAAATAACATAAAAATACTAAAATATAAATCTGATCTAAAATTCTTTTTCAAAACGTTTGCTTATATTCTTAGTCTAATTATTATCTTTAAATTATTTACGTGCAGTTACAATACACTCCTCTTATCAAAATTACCTCCATTCCAAAAGCATTTGAGTTTATCAAGAGGCTCAGTTTAACAGATGGAGATTTTTGTATCATATTACCATGATATCAGTTTTAAATGTTCATGTAAAATAATAACTAAGAAGTAATTCTTTAATTAATCTTAAAATAACAAGTAAAAATTAATACTAAAATTGAATTATTTGGTAATTTTTAAATATATGCGGCTTAAGTGTTTGTCGCCGATAGTTTATTGGTTGTTTGCGTAACTGTAAATTGTTTTATTCCCCGTGCAGTGCAGTGCAGTGCGTGACGAATAGTATGAGAAGCTAGTGGTGAAACTACTGGGAGACAAGCACCACAGGCAGAAGACTGTATGATTTCCAACCAAATGTTAACCACAATTTAAATAGTAGTTCTTCGCACCTCACACAGTATCTGACAGGACATGGCCCATATATGTCCTATCTTCGCAGATTTCACCTAAGAGACAGTGACCAATGTATTTGTGGCAGTACTGGTGACCCAGATCACTATCTGTTTGACTGCTCGCCCACAAGGAATTCACATTTGAAAAGACCAACTGCAATCAATATGCCAGAATGGTTCAAGAACACAATTAAGAATAAATATGCGCTCAGCCGCATTAGAGACTGCACTACCATTGCTAAAAGCATTGCTGACAATCTGGAGTGGCTTCGTTTAGTTGGAAAACTAAAATGCTTAAAGTTAAGCAGACACTATCGGGGTCAAGGCACGGGAGGGTGGCCTCCCACGGGACTACGAACTAAAGTCTTCTACTGCTTACTGTAGATCTCTCACTGCTCCTATTGGTTTCAAATTTCTTTTATTTTATTTAATTTAACTTCTAGTTTACTGGAAAATATGTTTTTATGTCTCTGCAATTGAATATTTTGTAAATAGCAAATTTTCATGATTTTCGCATACACGTCTCAACAGCCAGTCAAAAGACCTCTACTAAGAGATATCTTTGACTGCTTCTGCTGGACTCCCTGCGTAATTTTACTTTTGTATATAGTCTTTCTAATTGTGAGAAAAATGCACTTTGATGAGTTTATGCACTAAATATTTGTAAAAATGCACACTGTACCTGAAACTTGGACCAGCATCTCTCCAGCCTACCAGACGCCGCTATAGCCTCACGTGACAAAGTAGTCACACCTTCTTTCATTTTGCATCCTGTCCTCCGGACACACTAATGCATTTGCTATACCTGCAATGTACTTTTTAATTCATGACAGCCGGTATACAGCTTGCTATCAGCAAGCTACACACGGCAATAGTGGGAAAAGGAAAGGAATGGAGTGGCTTCTTTCCTTGGACACCATGCCGTCAGCAGCCTGCTCTGTACATATATTAATTTACTTAATGTTTTTTTTTGTTTGTTTGTTTTGCTGTTTTTAATTATATTTAATTTTATGACTAATCCAGAACTTATTTAATGTATTCCACAATTTGTAATGTATTTGGTCATCTTTACATCTGTACCTGATTTTTATAGCACATCCTTAACTGTATGCCTAACAAGTACGATAATAGTGAAAAGTGTTCCGCTTAGTCTCAGCAGTCCCCACCATGCACCTTCTTTCTATGTTCTGGTCCTTACTTCAATGTTCCTCGTTTCGTGGCCAATCCCCGGAGGACACAGTACTAAGCTCTTTATTTATATTTATTCATTTTTTTTTTTTTTTTTTTTTTTTTTTTTTTTTAATTCCATCGACGGGATCCAACAGGCTGAAAAGCACCTAACCCAGTCGGCCAACTGTTGCGTCGATGGTGAAAAGAAAGAAAGTATGAGAAAGCTAAGCCGGAAAAATTAAAAATACAAGAGCACGTGCATTTAACATTTAATAAATATATTTAACATCTATATATAATAGAATTCGGAAATATGCAACCGGCAAAAACTGGCAACGAAGAAAAAAAATAAAATGAAATAAATAAATATCTTTATAATATGCTGCTTAAGTGTCTGTTTGTCGCCGATAGTTTATTGGTTGCTTGCGTAACTGTACTAGCCAATGGGGTGACCTTGCCACGGCACAGGGTTGCCGTTTCAATTGAGACGCAGACAATTTCCTGTAAAACTTGCCTTTGCTATGACCATCCATAAGTCTTAGGGCCAAACGCTCAAGCGTGTTGGCATTTTTTTACCTGAGCCTGCATTTATACACGGTCAACTTTATGTTGCCTGTTCAAGAACTCGTGAAAGAAGGGACGTAAAATTAAAAATAATGGATGGTCCTCTGCAAGGCGAGGTTAAAAATGATGGAAAGATCTACACAAGAAATGTTGCGTGCAAAGAGAACTTTGACATGTGAATTAATATTTTATTATTTTAATCACCTTTATTTATTGAGCTAGCGGTGGCTCTTAAGAAATGTACCGCCAGTGGTTTCCTTCATTGCACTCTACTTTAAGCAATTAAGCAAGTAGAAGGGGGAAATCCCGTGGTGCAGTATGCAAAGGGGCGACCTCGCCGCCTGCCCTGGGTAATTCAGTTTGAATTAGCAGACACCTTTGCACAAATCATTTTAATTACAATTTATAATATCTAGAACATTTTCGTATGGTCATTTCGTATGACCGCCGGGATTTCTAGTAATATTATATTTGAATATTAACTTTGTACTCTCGAATTTATAATTCCGTTAGAGATTTTCGTCTTCTTTGGTAGCATCAATTGTACGAGAAGTCTTAAGCGAATTACCCCTAGGCCTATTAAATTACGACAGAAATGTACGAAAGGTGCAAAAGACCCTTATTGAACTCAAATAAAACTTAACAGAAGACACTACTCGTGCTTACAGAACAGCCAGTATTTATGACTTAAATCAAAAAAATAAATTTGACTTAAATAAGTAGAATGTAAGGTTAGCCCAACGGCTACACAGGCAGACAAACGCAAAATTTGACTCAGACCGCGTATCAAAGTTACAACCCTAATGGCTAGAATTACGCAAAGCCTCAGATATACTGCTAATCAAGAGAATCAATAAGCAAACCTTCCTTTAAATACTTCCTCACTTTCTACCTTAATTTGAATACACGCGAACTAGGAATTTGCATTCTGGCAGGAAAATGGAAAGCGAGAAAGATATGGAAAGAAATCAAATTAACATAAAATAACTGGTTAGCAAAACTAAAGAAATCCATATACTTGTTAGAGAACATATTCGCTAAATACATTTGGAAATTTTTCACGGTACAATTTTTTTTTAAGTCATCATAAAGGCACGCACTTGTCATATCTATTAATAATTAAAACGGTTTTTATACTTTCCCCTAATTTCGTTTTACATATCTTTAAGAACACAATAAACGATACCGTTTTTTGAAAGTATGTTTGACTGAGAAAAGAAGAAATGCTGAGAAAAAATATCTTACTAGGAAATATTCCCTTTTCTAGTTTGAACAGAAGATTTTTTTAATTATTTTATACCTTTTTAAATCGTCAATATTTTAGTTATATTATTCAAAGTTCTAACTTTCTTCCTTTCAGAATTTCCAACATGGGCATCGAAAGGAAGGGCATTTCACTAATATCAGCTGTCATATTTATTCATTGTTTTAATGCTGTAGTAAGTATTGAATTTTATGTTTCCTTTAAGTTTATATTTTTGTATTTAGAACGTATTTCATAATGTAATTTGTTACATTTTATAAGATGACCGTTTCACATAATTGTAGCGTTTTTCCAAAGAAATGCAAAATTTTAAATTCGTATTTGCTAACTGTAGTAGATCAGATATTTTTTCGAAATAAGTTAAGTTTTAAAAGAATATCAAATTTTATTAAATTTTTCTTTTAAAGGATGCGAACTTTTGCCACATCGTCTAGAAATTTGTATTCTTTACAAACTTAAAATTGCACCTAAAAAGGGTTTTTCCATTTTCCTTAATAAAAATTGAATGTTTAAAATTCTTATTATTTCTGTGCATTAAAACAATGTATTTAGAAAACAAGGTAAATCAATTCACATTAAAACAATGTCAATTTTATTATTTCTACGCAAAAAAATCAACTAGGAGACAGGAAATTCATATTAATGAGACACAGTATAATACTTAAAGAATAGAGAAAGTATTGTAGCAAAAAAAAAAAAAAGAAGAAGAAGAAGAATTGTACACGTACTGTACGGAATAAACAGAAAAAAGGCTTTAATAACGATATGACGTTGGTACGAAAGGCCGTCTATCTAAGAGGGAGAATAAGAAACAATAAGATTACGTAAGGGATATGACCTCCTCTAACTGCAATGGTTGCGTTGCGCCATCTGTCGATACTCAACACCATTTTATCTAACAGTTCCTGGGGTAATAGTTCCCATTCTTCAAGGATCACTTGCTTCATTTGTTTGGTACTTTTATGAAGGTTAAGATCGTGCCACCAGGTGTTTCTCTAAAGTATCCATGCACATTCAAAAGGATTTAAATAATGGGAGCTCTCTGACGAATTCATTCTGCGGATATCTTCCCTTTTTAAGCCTTCTCAACAGAATGAACCCTGTTTGAGCGAGAATTGTCATTCATAAAAACATATTCGGGACCAATGGCACGCAGAAAAAGATACTCGTACCTCCTCACATTAATGATCTCAGGCATGTCAAAAATGTGGAGTTCCGTCCGGCCGTTTGTCATAATGCCTCCCCATACAAGCCTGCCAGAATCACTCAACGGTCTCTCTCCCTGATGTTTGTAGGATAAAATCGTGTCCCTACCTCTCTTCATATTAAAGGGCACCTAGAATAGTTTATCAGAATGAAACTAATTTCACCGATAAAGAGGACGAGACTCTATTGATAAGGTGTCCAGTCGTTGTGTTCTCTTATCACTGTAAACGGTGCCACCGAAGGGATGTTATCGACAGTATGCAGCGTTCAGGACGGTGGTCAAATAGGCCACTTTATGAAGTTTTCTGGAGACAGTAAACTGCCTCACTTGTCTTTCGGCTACAATGCGCAACTGCTGAGCAATGTTGCCCGCTGCCTGGTTTTGTTCACCTTTCTCCTGCAGTGCAATATATCGATCATCAGTCACCGTTGTTTCATGGGCCGACCACCAACAATCTTTCTTACAGGTGTACCTTTCCTTTGAAAGGCTTTCCAAAGATCGCGAAATAACATTTTATCAATTCCAAACTATTGGGCCACAGTCGTCAAATACGCCTCTCCTCAAGCTTGCCAATCTTTCTACCATGTGTAAAAGTACCCTGGTGTTTTCTTGTAGTCACTACATGTATAATCTCACTTTCGCTTACAGAATAATACTCGGAAAAGCATATTCCTTTCTTCTTTATAGCCTTGCACTGAGGGCGCTGATTCTTCGAGTTTAGCATGGATGATGTACCCTTTGACGTCATGGTGCTTATATTTGCATATGTATCACCTTTCTACTGGGTTGGTTTTTCACTCTACTGATCGCAAAAGTTCCTTTTCAGCAATTGTCGTATGTTGAAAAATGTTGCTTAACTTTGTTGCTTAAGTTTTGTACTCTAGTGTATATAAACAAAAACTACAACAATGATTATGCAGTAAATTTCAATATTATGATCGCTCTTAAAAATTTTGCAAATACTTTACTTTTCTATTTACAAAACTATAGTAAGAATATTATATATTCAGAATGGCTATATAAATAAAATTTCCAGTTAAAAAAATTGCTTTTTATACTGTAGAATAAATAAGCATGGCTTTCTTAAGCTTAACCGCCCACCAGCGGCCGAGAGGTAAAGTCGCTGAACACTGGTAGTTCGGTCCGAGGTTCGAATCCCGCGAACGGGCTGGCTGCATGGGTGTTTTCGTGGTTTTCCCCATGTGTAACGTGTATACGAGCCAGTTTACCTTAGAAAGTCCTCCACGAAGGCATCCCTTCCCTTAGGCAGATAGCCGAAGTGTGCTTTGCCATAATTAAATACACCACACACTTAAGCTTAACCAATTAGATAGTTATTTTTATTAAGTATTAACTTTTACTCAGTCCTTTACTTTAGTAGTTACTCAGTCCTTTTAGATGTTCAATATATTTTTCTCTATTACATTAGTTAAAATTACAGGAAAAAATTAATAAAATTATAATGCTATTTTTTAAGTTTTTAAATGCTACAAAAACTCTTTTAATTAACTTTATTGTTATATGTTGATTAGAATTATTCTCCGAAATATTTTAATAACATTATTAGGATTAAATTCCAGAAAGTTACAAACATATTCTTTGTAATTATTACAATTGTTTTAAGAAAAAAGGGGTAAATCTTACAAATAAATAGTAATCGTACAAATAAAATCTTACAAATCTACAAATCTTGTAAAAAATATAATTTTTTTATATTTTTTACCTGTTATCTGCATTTTCTTGTTTACAATAATTAAATTTAACGTCGTCAGTCATGTAAGAATTATAAAACTTTGGCAATTCCTCTTATTTCAAAATCTCATTGCCAAAATTAAAAAATCTGATTAAGAGAAACTTCTACATCCTACTGCCTATGGTTCCTTTTGAGGGATATAAAGGATAACTATAGTTTGTTGAACTAAAGCAGGGCCAAAATTAAAAGGCTTAATGGGTAACAGAAAATATTTCGAACAGGATTAGTCCTGCATTAAAACTTAACTATTTGTATCTTCTCAGATAAGATAATTCATATTAAGTTCATTAAAATAATAATTCTTAGTTAAGATACTTCTCAGATTAGAAGTTTAGTTAACATCGCTGTTAATTGATATGTTACCAGTTAGCTAACATCTCTGTTAACTGGCTAACAACTTATTAATTAACCGATAGTTCGCTAACAACGCTAACAGGTAGCTAAGAACTTATATTTGTTAGCCAACTGATAACTGGCTAACAATACTGATATTTGGATAAAATCTTACATTTATTAACTAATAAGTAGCTAAAAATACTGGTCTATCAATTTATATTTGGTTAGCAAACTGATAAGTAGCTACAACGCTGATAATTGTTTCATAATTAACATTTGTTTGCCAATTATCAACGCTCAGGGGCGGCGAGACTCTATTATTCGCCGCCTATTAGATATTTCTCCGCCCAGTGCAAACTTTACAACACCTATATTCTACTGTCTGATACTTCTTTATATTCTAAAAACTATGCTGAATTCTGCCGCACGGTGCTGCCACTCTGGTTGCACCAGCTCTGGCGCTGGCCCTGTCAATGTTGATAATTCGCTAACAACTTATATTAGTTAGCTAACTGATAATTGGTTAACAATGTTGATAGCTGGCTAAGAACTTATATTTGTTAGCCAAAGGATAACTAGCTAACAACACTCATAGTTGATTACCAACTTATAGTTATTTATTGGTTAACTGATAATTGGCAAACGGCACTGAGCTAACAATTTATATTTAGTAACCAACTGATGGTAATAACGCTCATATGTGGTTAATAGTACTTTACATTTGTTAGCCAACAGACAATTGACTAACAACTATATATGTGAATAAGAACTTATATTTGTTAACCAAATCATAATTGTCTAACAACACTGACATTTGGCTAACAACTTATATTTAGCCAACTGACGATGTGCTAAAAACTCTGAAAACTGGTTAATAACTTATATTTGTTAAGCAAACGATAACTGGCTAACAACACTAATAGGATATAGAGAGAGATAGATAGGTAGATATAGCTTATATATTTCTTGGGCCGTTATTAGGATAAATGAATAACAACTACAGGGCTAACAATTTATATTTGGTTAGCCAACTGATAATTGGCTACAAGGCTGATAACTGACTAGCATCTTACATTTGTCAAGCAACTAATAACCAGCTAACAATAATGATAGTTAGCTGATGACTTATTGATTAACTGATAATTGACTAACAATACTGGAATAACAAATATAAATTGTTGATTGGCTAACAACAGCTAAAAACTATCTGGCTAATACTTTATATTTGTTAGCCAACTGATAATTGACAATTACAATAAATGGCTAACAACTTATATTTAGTCAACTGACAGTTGGCTAAAAATTCTGATAAATGGTTAACATCTTATAGTTGTTAAGAAATTGAAAATTGGATACAACCATGATAAATGGCTAACAATTTATATTTTGTCATCTGTCAATAGAATAAAATCTCCTATAACCGGCTAAAAACTTCAACTTATATTTGTTAGCCAACTGATAATTGGCTACAACTGTGATTACTAGCTAACTACTTACGTTTAACCAACTGACAATTAGCTAACAACTCTGATAACTGGTTAACAACTTATATTTGTTAAGCAACTGATAACAATGTAATAACAATGATAGTTGTCTAACAACTTATATTTATTGGTTAAGTGATAACTGGCTAATAACACTGAGATAAGAATTTATATTTGCTAGCCAGCGGATAATTGGTTAACAAGACTGATATCTGGCTAATACTTCATATTTGTTAAACTGACAACTGATAATCAATAATATATATAATGACGCTGATAATTAGCTAACAACTCATGTTCATTAGCTAACTAAAAAGTGATTAACAAAGCTCATAATTGACTAACAGCTTATATATTCTGCAGGTAGCTCCTACACCTATGTCATACATCCGCACTAGTGGCAAACGAGAGAAATCCGTTGGTATCAGTCGAGTACCTGAAAGAATTGAAGTGGCAAGTTGTCTTGGAAGATGTCAGTTAACTCCATCCTGCGTTTGTGTCAGGTGAGTTTGGTTCAAGTCATTTTACGAATAACGTAACGTTCAGGCAACGACATGCTCTTGCGAATTCTAATGTCACTAGCCAATATTCTGCAAATGACAAATTTTTAAAAATGTATTTGATCATGTTTTTTTTTTTTTTTTTTTTTAATTTCTGATTTTATATAATAATTTGGGTAATTATTGTACAATTTTGTTCATGTAATAGAAAAATTAAGTCTTGTAAAAGCGTAAAATCAATTTATATCATAAAATTAGTTAAAAGATTGAACTTATCTGTTAATTATAAAATTTTAATTCCTTGGAATAAAGCTTTATTTTTATATACGAGCCCTGATAAGAGAAAGCATTTCTTAATTTTAATTAATCTTAACTACTACTTAAAATGCATTTATATTTACTTAAATATTTGTTAATAAAATAATTTCCATCTGCTCCAAGAGCTTTTATTCCCCTCTCCTAGATCTTTTCAAAAGTTAAAAAAATATGTTAAAATTCAATTCCAAAATTTTTAATCCCAAAAGAAAATTTTGTTCATTTAATAAGATTATATCCCATTCCAGGCTTTCCCAGTTGACTGTTTTTCAAAAATCATATCATTTCGTTTTTATATTCAGAGTCAACGTTAAGTCTCAAAATGTGACCGAAAATCAAAAGATGATAAAAACATACTTAAAATGACGTAATAACATTCAGACAATGTTTACAGCATTAAAGTCACATAGTGGTGATATATAGTACAGTAAACATGGCTTTTACTTTTTTAAAAACATGATTGCAATTCAGTGCTGTTACCTTGAGATATGAACACGTCAGTTTCTAAATAATAATACAATTATTCTTTATAAAAATATATTAATTATGGCTAAAATATTTGAGATTCCTACACTTTAAATCAGGAATTCCCAATCTTTTCTCTTATCAACCCTTTTTAAAAGAATGATTTTCTTATCGAAACCCTTACTTTTTCCCTCTACAGCATACAGCAAACTCATTATACAAATAATAGCACATAAATAAAAAGTAATAATTAGACTAAGATATGAACACGTCAGTTTCTAAATAATAATACAATTATTCTTTATAAAATATATTAATTATGGCTAAAATATTTGAGATTCCTACACTTTAAATCAGGAATTCCCAATCTTTATTCTCTTATCAACCCTTTTTAAAAGAATGATTTTCTTTATCGAAACCCTTACTTTTTCCCTCTATACAGCATACAGCAAACTCATTATACAAATAATAGCACATAAATAATTAAACGTAATAATTAGACTAAGAAGACGTGGTGTAGTGTGTGTATTTAATCATGGCAAAGCACACTAGGGCTATCTGCCTAAGAGGAGGGATGCCTTCGTGGAGGACTTTCTAAGGTAACACGTTATACACGTTACAACACATGGGAAAAAAAAAACACAAAACACCCATGCAGCCAGTCCGTTCGCGGGATTCGAACCTCGGACCCCGAACACCAAAACAAAACGACTTTTTCGCGCCGCCGGCCGCTGGGGGCAAGACTTGACGAAAACTCTTTCGATTTACGTTTTATTATATTTTATACTGTTAATATTTTTAATTTTACAAATGTAAACAATTTTCAGAAACAAAATCACAATTCTAAATGCCCAAAATTCAATTTTAATAAATATGATGCCTGTGCTTGGTGTTTTGATGAATTTTTTAAGTTAAATTTAATTAAAATATTTGGCATAAAATCGCTTATTTTAATTCTTAAATCCCCTCGTTCAAAAATATTTAACTTATTTCTTGTTCTCCACTTTACTTTTTCATTCTTAGTACACTTTTGTGTGTGTTTGTGTTTTTGCGTTTTATTTCTTTATATTACAATTATTGCATAAACGATTTATGTATTTTAAAATAATATTATGGTTCTCTTAAGTGCATTAAATAATTTTAGGGGGATGCATTTCCACCCTTCTATTTATTTTATACGATTTCTTCCTTACTACATGATACAGCTTTATATCGACCAACACTTAATTATCAATTTTATTATTTAATTTGTTTTGGAATGAAAGGGATATTGATTATGTAGATCAGCTGCAGGCGCATATTCTGCTATCGACGCCTTGATCATCAGTGATCCCTTAAAAATTCCATTGACCCTCATAGGGCTAATACCGACCCCTCTAAGGAAACCGTGCCCTAAATGAAAACGAAAATTTAGAACCTTTGAGGATTGAGTTAAAGTTAAATCTAAGTTTAAAATGTAATACCCAAAAGTTTTACGAAAATAAAATGATGTTGTCTAATAAACCAAAGTAATTATTTTATAGAGACATTAGGATTTTTTTTTTTTTTTTTAGTCCAAAGGGACTTGAGTCCCGAAGGACTATTACTTTCGTTTTGGCATTTTGCGTCGGACTCATAAATGTCGATTCACTTTTCAAACTGTTGCCACAAAATGTTAGAGTCCTGCATTATATTTGAAGAAATTAAATAATGAAAAATCTGCATAAATGTATGTATATTTCTCGTATTGTCATAAAATAACGGTACATAGAGTAGAGTCATCGAATTTTGAATAACGTAATCCTCCAACGAATATGAGCATGTGGAAGACCAAATTTGAAAATTTGAAATTTGTTTTATGATCGATTTCCTATTTTTTAAAACTTTGACGAATTTTTGATTAACAAACTCAAGGATTTCAAGCAAAGCGAGCAATGGCAACGTTTGCAGTGCAGAACAAAAAAACATTTTTTATCTCCAGCGCGTGAATCTCTGTATCGGAAATTCTAAAGATATGCTCGTTTTTTTTAAAACTATTTTGCGATATAGCTGTTGCACTGGATCTTATGGTTTAAGTGCGAGGAACATGATATTTTTAATAAAGAAAGGTAACACACAAAATGTTAAAAAACGTCCCTTTGGACGTAATTTAAAATCTGAAACATTTCAGGTTTTTTTTTTTTTTTTTTTTTTTTTTTTTTTTTTTTTTTAAAAAAGTAGGAAAGATGAAAAATGAGCAACCGCCTTCGCCGGAAATCGAACCACGGACCTCTGAAATACCGGCCCAATGTGCAGAACCACTACAACACGAAGGCACGTTAGGATAGCGGGACAAATACCTTATAATTTTAATGATTATTTTTTTTAAATGTTCTTTTCATCTTGAAAGAGAATGTAGATCAAAGTATGTATACAGAGTAAACAAATGGCTTTACTTCTTACGATCATCTAACAAACAGAATTACTGTATGCTACTCAAATACAGTATGTATCCTCCTTTTCGTCTAAAGTGTTCTTCATCCACCTTGGAAAGCTATCTTTCTTCGGTTTTTCTTGTTTAACATACAATTTATTTTAGATTATTTAAAATATGTTAATTTGATTTTTGAGTTTCTGGTTCCAGAGTAAACAATGAGAGTGTTTTCTCACTAATAGACATTTCACGGCCGAGGAGATTTAATGGAGAGGAAACCGAGGAGATTTAATGCAGAGTAAGTGAAGTCTGTTTGGTAGGCACATAATATAATTTTAAACTATGAAGTGCGCTAAATTTTTAAGAGTACTTATTTAAAGAAAATTCTTCCGTGATGTGAAAAAGAGACAAAGGCGCGATTTTTGCTGCCCAGCTTAAGAAAGCTTGAAGTAGGAAAAACTGAAAGAGGACATCACGTTTTATAATACTTGTAACTACTCAAAAGCTTCTGTAGGATCATTTATATAAAATTAAAGCAAGAAAACTTAATTAGAATTCTTTAGAATAATTGTCTAATTTTCTAAAAATTGGATGTGATATTTTCGGTAGAGTTCTATTAATTGATTTCATACTTGTTACATAAGATTCTATTCGTAGGATATGTAGAAAAAAACCTTTTATTGAATCTCTGTACAAATCTGTATAGAATATCTACACATAACGCTATAGAATCGGTGCACATAACTCTACAGAAGCTGTATCTAAAATTTTATACAATTCTTATTGAATCTCTGTACAAATCTGTATAGAATATCTACACATAACGCTATAGAATCGGTGCACATAACTCTACAGAAGCTGTATCTAAAATTTTATACAATTCTATAGAAGGTTTGTGATCTAGTCTACAGATTAATCTAAAGCAGCGGTCGCCAACCGGTGGTCAATGAAAACGTTTTGATGGTCCGCAGAAAAATTTGGACTTTATTTATATTTTTATGAAGATTCAGTTTACAGAATGACGAGTAACAAAACCTATTATGGAATATAAATTATACTTTTTTTTTACATTTTAGCTACTACTTTTAGCGAAATTCCTTCTGAATTTAGCGACTTTTTAGCTTCTTTTGCAGGTGTATCTAGCGGCATTTGAAAGTGAGAGTTGGCATCCATGAATATGCTGCTGTTATCAATAATAGCGTTAAATGGAATTCTCTTTCCTTTTGAATTACAAACATATGCTATTGCAGTCGTTAATAAGACAGTTTTTCTCCGTGTCAATAGGCAACTTGATGGATTTTTTATGAGAACCATCTGCATTCTTGTTTATAATTGCATCACTGGAAGTTTCCGTTTTGTTTTGTCTAATTGTTGATCGATGGCGCCATTGCTGAGTAAGCGATGATTATTATGTTTACAATAATTAAAAATTGGCGGCATAAAACTTTCAGTTTATTGGTATTGCTTTGTGTTTTTCGGTTTGTTCTTGCTTTTCGTGAAGTTTCTTTTCAGTGATATGGAAATGTGAAGCTTTCTGTACAAGAAGGTAAGATTTTTGTACCTTTCATATAATTTTTCATTGTTAACGAAATATGTGTATCAGTAAGATGTTAACAGTGTTTTAATTGTTACTCATAATCAGGGGCGTAGCCTGAATTTCCATAAAGGCATGTTGCTGAACGCGAAATGTTTCGCAAATTATATTAAGAAATGAAAATTAGAATTACATGTATTGGAAAGGTTGAATATTGTTTTTCCGTATTAATATGTTGTTTTTAAGATCGGATTTAAAGTTTTTTAAAATTCATATTGGTGTTCCGCCAAATATAAAATTCTATATGTAGTGGTCCGTGAAGTTCTAAGGCTTGACGACCGCTGATCTAAAGGACTAAAGAAGTTTAACGCTGGAATTTTTTATGGAATTCTTTACGACATTTTCATAAGGGTAATAAAGTGATTATCGGATAAATTATGGGCCAATTTTCTATAAAATGGATCTGATATTATTTGTAGAATTATGTTAATTCATTCTACATATATTAAGTAAGATTCTATATGTGCGACCTCTGAAATCTGTACAATATTTTATAGAATCTCTACGCACACTTGTATATAGTATCTAAGCATATTTCTGTAGAATTTCTGTACATAACTCTATAGGAGCTATAGCTAAAATTTTATAGAATTCTACAGTAAATATCTGGTCTAGTTTATAGAAAAATGAGCCATTAATCTAAAGGATTCTATTGAAACTTAACACTGGGTTTTCTTATAAAGTTCTATAGGACATTTTCCAGTATAACCCAGCTGCGTGAATCAAAGCTTCTCCCTTTGTCTGGAATTTAAAGCCATCATAAAGCGCGAGAAGTTTCCTCTCCTTTTCGTGTCATCTTTTACTTCCTTCGATAATCCCTCACCTTAGTCCGGACTGTCCTTTCTCAAAGTCATATTGCTCCTATACGTTTTAAGTGGCGTAGCCGCCCTTCCATAATTTTGTCACTGCTCTTGGTATGCAAGCAAATAACTAAAAATAGTGTCAAAACTTTATGTAGGGAAATAAATTTAAACTTTATGTTTATTTTTAAAAATATTTTAAACTTCCAGTATTTCTAAAATATATGTTTTAAAATTGCATACATTTTTTGTTCTCAAAACCATTCATGGCATTGCAGAGCTCTATTTGATTGTTCTTGCTGTTATGTAGACAGCACAAAAGGTTTTTTTTTTTTTTTTAATGAAAAAGTTCCAGAATTTCTTAATTGCTAAAGTTCTTTTTATTTCTTAAAAATTTTAAGTGATTTTTCTTTAAAAAATGCTTCTCACAACTATCAATACTTACAGCAATTGAGAGGAAAATTTGAATTTGATATAATGTTACAATATCTAAAACTTTGTTCTGGAGATCGTATTTTAGAATAAACTGAAAGATTCAAAACGACTTCCGCGTTCATGTTTCGATTTGCCAGCAATAACGGAAATAAAAGTTTGAAATATTTCCCTCTTAAAAGCAATTTTTTCCTTATTAATGTCGCTCCAATCAGAATTTAGTATCTGTTGATAATATGCATTTCAAAGTTTCGACGCCATAAAAAAGGCACAAGTCAAGTACGTATGCGTTGAAATCACGATGTTATCTCTTTGAATTCTTTAAAAACGCTTTTCTTCTCAATTTAATTCTGCATGTCAGTTTAGAACCCAATTATTCTTCATGTGCTTGACGCTCCATCTCACTAAACCCTGCAAAAAATGTAACAAGCAGAAAATGACGCCACTAAAAACGCGCCACCCAGGATCACTGATATATATGGACTAATTTCTTTTGTTTCAGATGGGGAAAAAAACCTGGTTTCAGATGGGGAAAAAACCTGTTTCAGATGGGGGAAAAAATTGTTAACAAAACAATGACGACAGGCCAATTACATCTTTAAACAGTTACATTAATGGACAATAACTTTCCATCAAACGTGCTGGAAATATAGCGAATTTCTTTTGTTTCAGATGGGGAAAAAACCTTGCCAGTTTCAGATGGGGGAAAAAATTGTTAACAAAACAATGACGACAGGCCAATTACATCTTTAAACAGTTACATTAATGGACAATAACTTTCCATCAAACGTGCTGGAAATATAGCGAATTACTTTTGTTTCAGATGGGGAAAAAACCTGTTTCAGATGGGGGAAAAAATTGTTAACAAAACAATGACGACAGGCCAATTACATCTTTAAACAGTTACATTAATGGACAATAACTTTCCATCAAATGTGCTGGAAATGTAGCGAATTTCTTTTGTTTCAGATGGGGAAAAAAATTGTTAACAAAACAATGACGACAGGCCAATTACATCTTTAAACAGTTACATTAACGGACAATAACTTTCTATCAAATGTGCTGGAAATGTAGCGAATATGAAGTGGTGCCTCCATCTGGGGGTCCGGACTCCAGAAATTGGGATATAAGTTATTTTTACAATATTTTAAAAGTTAATTAATGATTTTGAAATCGCCTTGGAAAACGAGGCATTTCATAGATTCGGCTTGCACGACCCCATAAATTCGCCTCTGTGACTGAATGATGATCTGTGTTAGAGGTACGAAAAAAGAAGTTCTGTTTAAATTTAGTGCAATGCGGAGAATCTTGGAACACCTTCCTGCTTTTGATAAAATACCTGTTTTGTGGCTTGTTACGTGCATTTGGAGATGTAAAGAAGCAAGTAGATGAAGACCAGACGTATTAATTATTAGTCTCGAAAATCACATTCATCAGAATAACTTTTCAAATTGTTGCCACCAAATGTTATCGCCATGTATTATTGAAAAAACGTTAAGTAACGAAGAATCTATATGTATGCATGCATGTTCCGCGGATTATGGGAAAACGATGGCAGCTAGAGCCACGCAATTTTTCGTACACGTAAGTCTTCCACCTATATGTATCTATGTACTCGTGTGTAGGTTCCTCTCGCACTGCGGAAAAGACAACGGCCGAAGATGCACCGAATATAAGTAATCCTCCACCTGAACATAGGCACCTCGAAGCCCGAATTTCGAATTGTTTTTCATTTATTTCATATTTTGTAAAATTTAATGAATTTTTGATTAATGAATTCAGAGATTTGAAAGTGAACATTGCCAACACCGTTCGAAGAAAAACATTTTTACCTCCTTGCTTGCCAGATTATTGCCATTTTGAAAAATGTAAGATACTTACATTTCAGAGTTAGTCAACAAACTCGGCTACTCAACAAACAATGTGTTGCCATTGCCGGAAATAAAATACTTTCATTTTTTACCTTCCATCGCGTTGCCATCCACTAAAGCCTAGTATATTTAACTTTCAAATTTAATCTGAAATGTTACTGAATAACAAACCAAGTGATTTAAAAGCTATAAAAGCAGTCCTTCAGAATATATTTTCTAATTTTTAATATGATTGATTTAAATAAAGCTGAATTCAAATCGTAAAATATCTAACCAGAAATAGTAAATGTTTTTATGAAATTATACTAGTTAGGCTCATTAAAATCATTATATACTTTTTTTCTGGTAAAACTTTAGGTGGCTGGCCGCACATGAGCGGCTATTTTTTAAAGAAATACGCGGCGTAAGTGCGAAGAAAGCGATGCTGAATAATAAAGCTGAAAAGACAGCAAATTTGTATTAGCAGGAGTGAGTTCAAGAGCAGATTGTAGCCTGCTATGCACAGCGAGAGCATAAAAAAATCTTAATAATCTTCTGGTTTGGCTGTAAAATCCGAATCCTTTGAGACTTTTTTTTTTGGGGGGGGGGGTATTTTCCCCCCTATATTACATTGAATAATCGATAGTTCGAATGAAAATTATAACTTCCTCAAAATGTTTGTTTCAGTTTTATGTAATCGCGATTGATTTGAAAATTTATATAAAAATCCTACAATTGTAGGGTGTCCACAACTGGAAATGGAGTTTGCGAAACTTTTACAAATACCAGTAATCCGAATGTCCTGAAGACAACTGGATTCGTTTATTATGCTGCGGTAAGGGAATTTTTGTCCTATATTCTTTGCTTGAAAATACAGAATGTGTTACAACTTCTTTTGTTATAAATCTTCTACGAATGGACACCAGCTTAGTCTTTATAAATAGATGGTTAGATAAAATATAAAAATGTGGCGGAAATTCCTTAACAAGTACAATTTAATTGAAACAAATGAGCAGTAGTTCTCTAAGTCCCAGTTTTAATTCAAGTGCAGCCCCCTTCAAACTATCTATACTGCGTCATTGGCGTCACTCTTTCCCTGTAGTATCTGCACTGCTGCAAACTTTTGACTAACCGCTGCTCAGGATTAAAAAAAAGTGTTCCGAGATTATATTATACTGCCGGATACTTAGTATGTTGTTCTTTTGCTGCTTGCTTTGCCTTGAATAACCCATGTCTCTCCGCTTATTAACATTCTCCAGTGTTTAAAAATGTAGCTGCGTATTTTAAAATTGTGGAGTATTTTAAAATTCTGGGGTATTTTAAAATTGTGGGGTGCAGATTACCCCATTGTGCCCATTGCGCTGTGTCCTGTAATAAGATATGTTACACACACTGGCCAATGAATTATAAACACAAGATCAATATTTTATTAAACCGCCTGGTCCGGCTATTTCAGTGGACTGTAACACTTAATTAAAACTAATTAACTAACTAAACTATAATATATCATCAGTGTTATTTTACTCATTTGTGGAAGACACTCAGGTTTTCACGCTCACTCTCCTTCGCCATTGAATCAAAACTCTCAAAGTAATAATATTCTTTTGTAAACAGTAACGATGGCAGCGCCATCTGGCTTCAAAGGAATTTAACACCTCCTTTTGCACTGATAATTGCTCAGGTTCGTTTGAGTATCGAGTCTACATGCTTCTGGAGTGCATTTACGTCGGGAGAACACGATGCATTGGCTATGCAGCTTTTTAGATCTTGTAAATTAGTTGGATGAGGAAGGTGCTATCGGATGCGTTTTTCCGCCATATCCCACACATTTTCTATGGGGGTTAGGATCCGAGCTATGCGGTTGCCAGGGAAAGTATTGGAGGTCAGACTGATGTTCAGCGAACCAATTTGAATACTTCTGGCACGATGTATAGTTGCATTATCGTCCATAGAGTATCAGTCGCCATCAGGGTAAAAATGCAAGATTTCAGGGTTCACTTGATCTTCCAGTATATCTAGGCTCATCTTCCACTATATCTCATGGCTATTTGTTTAGTCTCGAGGAACACTAAGGCAGCACTTCCATGCCAGTAGAATATACCCCATATTATGATACTCCCACCAGAGCCTTGCGCAGTGCAAGTAAGATAAGATGAATTCATGACTTCATGGGGTTCTCGCCAAATTCGAACGTCTTTCATCAGTGCAAAATAAGGTGTAGTGGGATTCATCGGACCACATTACCGGTTTCCTATCCTCAGATGACCATGTCGTCTCTCCCGACACCCCTGCAAACGAATTCTTGCACGTCGGGCAGAAATGAGTGGTTTTCTCACAGGCAATCGACTATACATTCATATCGTCTGCAATTCTGTGCACATGGTTCGAGCTGAAATCTGTTCGGAAGAGCCTTGGTTGACGATCTGTGTCAGTTGAAGCAGAGTAAAGTCCCTATTCTGCAGTAAAATTCATCAGAGACGACGCCGATCAGTCTTGGAAAACTGTGCTCGATCCGCACTTGCGTCTTCTGGAAAAGGACTGTGGGTTCTGATTCCAACTTTTGAAAAACCTTTGATATGGTAAACAGCGAGAACAGAAGCGAGTGGCGACGTGTTACTTTGAGGCAACCAAGCAGAAAGTTTAAGACGTATTCAAAAGACGCCTGGGAGAGATCAAATTTTTTACTTTCAATAGAAATTTCAATCAGTGATTGGATAAGAGGTATCCAATCACTGATTGCAGCGCTACGTAAGATCTTATGCGAAATATGTTATGAATACTTACTATTTTTAAGACAGAAAGAGGAAGTAACCAACTAAAAATGAGGAATAAAAGGGGCCACTGCAATTAAAATTAGAAGTTTGCTATACATATATATGTATATAAAATATAAAAATATGAAGAAACATTTATGAACAAATTAAACTTAATTGGAAAAAATCGACAATAGACTTTTAAATTACAAAATTTTAATTAAAGTGCAATCTCTTCAAGGCGCCTGCACTTTCTCAGCAGTATTTCCATTGCTGTAAACTTTTCCCCATTCGCTATCCAGAACTAAAAAATCAAGAGTTTGGGAGCTTATTTTAAAAGTACCGGAACCAAACACGCTTCCTCTTTAGCCACGTCGCTTGCCTGCTGGCATTGTGTCGCTTAGGCTCTGCTAACTATTCCCCGCAGTGTTGTAAATTAAAAAGATAACATCCTAAGAAATTTATCATCCAGAAATAAATTATGTTTAGCTAAAAGGTAGTCTTTTTTTCTTCCAAAATTCCAGCCGGTCATCCCCTGTATCGCAGTTTCCAGTCAATACGCACCATTTTTCTCGGACATGATTAAGAAGTAAATTGGTGCATTCCCTAATTGAGCTGCCTTCTAATACCAAGTTATCTGCAACGAATTACATTATTATCACACACACACACACACACATATATATATATATATATGCATATATTTTAATAATTACATTAACATGTGTTTGGTGCATAATGCCTTTCCGGTTATACGTCATTAAATACACTACTACTGCTACTTTAATAATTAAATTCAATTTGGTTATCTCCTAGGAAATAAGAAATTATTAATGTAGCGTAAACTTTTTAAATGAAATATATTAAAATGGAAATAAGTAAAAATCTGAAATATGTATTGAAATTTTAAATATAAAATATTTTGTAAACATTAAAATATTTTACAAGAAAAAATACTCTTAAACATGCACTCAGTGGCCCTTTTGAAAATTATTATGAACATAGTGTGAAGAGAGCAAAATGACACTTCCGATTAGATTTGTTATTCTGAATGTATTAATATTATAAAAATTTATTTACAGCACATATTCTAATATTTTTTATTTGTTTTCTTTCTGTTTTTCAGGCAATGTACAAAAAAACTCTAGAAACAGGTAAGAAAAATTTTATTCTTGAAATTTAATTATTTTAAATTCCTACAAGATGTGCCTGTTGATTTTTAAATTTGTATAAAATATGCTGCCACTGATATTGATGTATCAAAAGTTCAGAGAATACTCGCTTTGAGGTTTCTAATTTCACTGGAAATTCTATTTCCAGTGAAATTAGGTATTTGCGATATTACGTAATTTGGTATTTGCGATATTACGTAAGTCCTTTTGGTACTTACGTAATATCGCAAAGCCGTAGTTGAAGTGTTACCAAATTTTCAGAATATGCCAAATTCTGGCAACAACGTAAACCCATTCTTCAGGCAACCATGCTAATAACAGCTCTTCAATAAAGCAACGTCGCCATTTTCGTATGCGTTCTTTTTGTTGTATTCCAAACACCAGCTGTTTTTATAGACAAAAATTACGATACTTTTTGCTTTCAACTCAGTTTTAAAATATGCACATGTGGAAGTAGACAGCAACGGAAGAAACTAGAATAACATTTCTTTTGGAATACAGCATTTTGTCGCAAAGTTAAGGGAACAATAATCAGATTAGTTGGTAGATGGCCAGTGAGCCAGTTGTGCAATTTTGCAATGTTTGTTTTCAGAGAAAATAAATCGCTTTATACATGGAGAGAAAAATAATGCTAAAGAAATGGAGCAGAATTTTGCGGAAAATATAAGAGTTTAAATTTTTAATGTGTCCTGTAATACTTATTTAATAACCGGAATTTGTATTTTAAATTGTTAAAGCTTTTCTTATTTTGATATGTAATGATGTTTGTCGCTTTACGACAAATATCGGTAGTTTGGGAATACTTTTGAAAAAAAAAAAAAAAAAAGTTTCTAAATTTACAAGCTTGTTAACTGGTGATAAGTAACTTTTTCATTTGCAAAAAAATCGCCAAAGTTTTTGCGTTAATACATAAGTACCAATCATTTTTATTGATTTTTATGCTCATCTATAAATCACTAATAGTGGAATATTTATATCAGACAGCTTAGCTCTGGCGAAACCCTCGTACCAAAGTTCGACGTATCGATTAAAGAATGTGAAGTACACTGCAGATCGAGCGAACGATGGCAACAGAAACGTTGAAGGTTTCTTGCAGCCTTATTTTGCCCATACCAAAGATGGTCCAGATTCCGAGCCTTTTCCTTGGTGGCAGGTAGACTTAGAAGACGAATACGTGATAACTGGAATTTACATCCTCAACAGAAGGAACTGGGGTAAATATGTATCAAATTCTAATCATAAAAAAAATATTTGAGTTCTAAATTAAAAGTTCTTTAAAATTTTTGTCAAAAACTTTTCTTTGATATAAAAAAATATAGCGAATTCATACTGTCCACACTAATGATTAAGAATGTTGCTAATATTACACCTGAAATTTTGAAAAAATAATCGAATTACCTTCAGTTGGATGTATTATAATTATTTCTGAGCAACTCAGTACAATCATAACGAGAAAAACTTAAATTCGATTAAAAAAGTAGTATTCAATAAATACGAATTCTAAGGTTTTCTCAGAAAATAAATAAGTGGTAGAAAATTTCAGTCTTTGCTTCTGAATCCGTCGTCTATATTAAGTTGTACAGATAGAAGCTAGGCCAGCATTTATATAATGCCGTAGGTGAGTGAGGTAAGTAGTAAAGCACGATTGGGGCCAAGAAAGTAATAAGGCCACGAATGTGCCCCTAGGCCTTTCTACGTTTGTACAAATCGCCAAATTTGAAGACCACCTAGATATCCAAATTGTAATTTGTAAAACCAAAAATTGTGAAACCAAAAATTTTCTCTGTAGAAATTTAAACCATGTAAGTCTGTTTTTTTGTCTCAACAAATTAAAACCGTTTCTGCTTTGAAATATTAACTTTGAAATAAATAAAAGGTATTTGCATTTAATGGTATTTTTTCTGCAGATTTTTTAAATCTTAACTTGATTTTAGTTCTCTTCCCATTATAATCGTTTTTCTACGTTGTTTCTATTTTGTTTTCCTATTTTTCTTTTTGTGGATAGTTCGTCGTGGTTACTGAGAACCGTGGCCCTTGTAACGAATGAAGAAGTCCGATGAAAATTTCATATTTTATTTACTTTGAAACGGACTGTCTTCGGGGAATCATCTATTGAATTTTGCGGTGGCTCAGTAGCTGTGACGAACTGACCACAAGAAGGACACTTGGAGCCGCAAGTCTCTTTAGGACAACTTCGTCTATGAATCACTTGGCAGCCTCCCCTGCACTCATATACCTGTAATGGCAACTAAACAAAAATATATCCACATAAAACTATTAAAAATATAAAGCTTTCCTAAAATTTCACATAAATGATTAATAACTATGATAATTTACGTTTAGATAACAAAAGCGAAAACTTTCAAAACACTTACCCTATCGCAAAGCGAAAACTCATAGTTTTCAGTGAGGCTTTGTGTAAGCATCCGATCGGCAAAGACGATTACAATCTTCACATTGCTGGAGCTGTCTAGATCGCTATTGGTCCGCAGACATATAGGACAAGCCTTGGTGCATCGTGTTCTCCTGTGCGCTGGTATGGTTTTTCACACACAGTGCAGTAATATTTGCTGGCGAAAATTCCTTTGAGGGATTTGATAATATCTTATTGGCTGTGCGGAAGCCACAAATTTGTATAGACCAACTAAAAAATTTTAAACATTATTTGAGAAATCAATTACATTCAGCATTTTACCTGTTATAACTTTTAACATCTAAATAAATTGCGTAAATGCATAAAATATAAAATTAGTCATCTGAAAATTCACGGTGCATTCAATTCTTACATGTTAACATGAAATTATGTACAATTTAACATGAAAACAAAACGAAATTTTCAGAAATACATGCATAAAATGAAAAGTGTGTCATTAAAAATTAAAAATTTGCCATGCATTCAATTTTTAGAAAGGTTATATAATCTAAAATTCTAAAAACTTGTAATAAAAATAAAAATTCCTCATGCACTAAATTTTTGCTCAGTTTTACGCTCAACGTTAATATTTTTAACATGGGAACATAACGAAGTTATCATAAACACATGAATAAATGAAACACAGCCGTGAATGTTGAAAATTGTCCAATGGCGTTTTTAAAATTATTTTTGCAAATTATTCATGTAACAAAACAAATTTTACCATGTACCATGGTAAAATTTCTCCATTCTACCATGCAGCCAGAAGTTTGTCAATTAAAAAGAAAACAATTATAATGAAAAGAACTAAAATCAAGTTACGATTTTAAAAGCTTTTGCAGAAAAATACCATTAAATGTAAAATACCATTTAGTTAATTTCAATGTTAATATTTAAAATGAAAAATAATAGTTTTAATTTGCTGAGATAAAAAATAGACTTTCCTGGTCAAATTTTTCGAATAGAGGACTGCAGTTTAGATATATAGGTGGTCTTCAAATATGCGAATTCTTAACATTTGCAAGGGTCCGGATGTGCACATTTGGGGCTTTATGGAGTTGTTTTGCCCGTTTCACAAAGGCTGGCCGACGACGATCTTGCATAACAGTCTTGTCATCGTTCAGGTGTCCCAAGGCATAAACAAGCGTTTTAGCAATCAAAATCCTGTGTCATTTGTATGGGATAAGCAAGATGGATTTTTTATCCAGTCTATAATTGTGCTATTGATCATTATCCTGTTTCGTATGGCACCTACAGGTCGTCTAATAGTGATCGCGTCCAGCTAGAATCTAATATCCATTTCGATTTTATCTTTGGACTGCAGCACTTTCATGACAGTAGCCGATTGTCAAAGTCGAAACAGCCTTCAGGCAAGAGCCTTATGGCAAGTGCCAAGCAGAAGGTTCTTCCAAACCTTCTGCTTGTATAGAATCCGATGAGGTATGACGGATCCAAATTGGCTGCTGAGCGAAAAATGAGTGGTTCGAGCAATTCCTGGACTGTGTCTGGAATTCGAATCATCGGTGTACCTTGCATGTCTTGAGGCAATCGTTCATTCTTGAATGTCTTGATCTCGCATGTCTTGAGGCAATCGATTCATTGATGAATTTGAAAACTCTACTAATTATGATAAAGATTTAGAAGTTTTATTTCTCGAAAATATTCCTGACAAAAAGAAGGAAGAACCTCTGAATGTAAAGCAAATATCGGCTGATGAAATAACTGAAGACCCCTCAAATATGGCAGAAGCATCTGCTGAAGCATCTGATAATGAAGATTCTGATTCCGAAGCAACTACCTGAAATGCAGATTAAAAGGGGGGCCAGGTCGTCCAAAGAAAGTCAAGACTGGGAAGCCAGGAAGACCAAAAAAGGAGTACCACAATATAAACATAGAAAAGGAAGAAGCACAAATTGCTGAAGAAGATACAAATCCGACATTAGAAGAAGCATTAAATGGAAGTTATGCTGAAGAATGGCATAAGGCTATGCAAAGTGAGTATGAAGCACTTGTTAAAAATGGTGCATGGAAATTAGTAAAGCGACCACAGAACAAAAAGGTAATAGGATGTCGCTGGGTTCTTAGAACGAAATATAATGCAGATGGAACAGTTCAAAAGAGAAAAGCTCGATTGGTTGCTAGAGGATTTGCACAGGAACCTGGAATTGATTTTAATGAAACCTTTGCTCCAGTAGCCAGAGCAAGTTCTATAAGAACTGTGATTGCATACAGTGCTGAACAAGACCTTATGTTATATCAACTAGATTTTGTTATGGCTTATGTTAACGGAGATTTAAAAGAAGAAATTTTCATGGAACAAGCTAAAGGTTTTGAAGACCAAAATAATCCTGATTATGTTTATGCTTTGCAAAAGTCTCTTTATGGTTTGAAACAAAGTGGAAGACAGTGGTATGAAAAATTAGACAAAAAACTCAAAAACTTTGGATTACAACCATTACAATCAGATAAGTGTGTATACAGGATGAAAACATCTCAAGGTGAGTTAATTCTAATTTTATATGTTGATGACTTAATAATAGCAACAAATAGCTGTGATTTATATGCTGAACTTAAAGGTTATCTTTCTAAAGAATTTCATGTTAAAGATTTAGGCAAACTTCATTATTGTCTTGGAATAGAATTTAATCAAGATGTAAATAATAATTCTATTAGTTTATCTCAGCAGAAATATGTTGATAATATTCTACGAAGGTTTAATATGCAAGATGCAAAACCAGTAGCAACTCCTTTAGATCCTAGTGTAAAATTAAGTAAAGAAATGTGTCCTTCTGAAACTGAAAAGGAAGAAATGAACAATGTACCTTATCGCCGTCTAATTGGTTCGCTTATGTATCTTTCTGTGTTTACTAGGCCGGATATTACATATGCCGTCAGTCACCTGAGCCAATTTAATAACAATCCTGGAAAATTACACTGGTTGGCTGCAAAGCGCGTTCTTCGATACTTAAAAGGAACTAAAAATTATTGTTTAAAATTTCGAAAGACTGGAAAAGCACTTATTGGATATACCGATGCCGACTGGGCGTCTGATGTTAATACTAGAAAATCGTATACAGGTTACCTATTCAAGCTAGCTGGAAATCCGATAACATGGGAATCACGAAAGCAACAAACTGTTGCATTATCAAGTACTGAAGCAGAGTACATCAGTCTTTCAGAAAGTGCCAAAGAAGCAGTTTATTTACGTCGTTTTCTTAAAGAATTAAATTTTACTGCTGATTATCCAACCATTATATATTGTGATAATCAAGGTGCACAAGAAGCTTATGAAAAATGCTGTGTTTATCACTCACGCACTAAACACATAGATATTAGACATCATTTCATTCGTGAAATTTATGAAAGAAATGAAATAGACGTTAAATATGTGCCAACAGAGAAAATGCCTGCTGATGTACTGACAAAAACATTGACTGCTTCGAAACATTCTAAGTGCTGTAAATTAATTGGAATAACTGTAAATGATTAATGTTTATTTTTTTTTTCAGCCGCCAAACGTCGAAAGGGGGATTGTTGTATCATAAATTATAATACGACGTTTAGCTTAAGAGAGCTTCTCCTGACGCATGCGCCGTTCGCGTTTATCCGCGCGGTGAATGATGACGTAACTGTTTATTACGTATGTATGTATATGTATACCATTCTTACTTCTTCGCCTTTTTTCTCTGCTGTATGCAACTATGTTTAAGTTAATCTCTGTCATTAAAAATGTTCATTGATATTACAATCTATTTAGGCTCATTTATTTCTTCAGTAACAAACTGGCAAAATCCAAGCAAA